CTATAGGATAGGTGTAGACCTGGTCCAACATCACAGACACCAAGACAAGAACAACCAACGCGCTCTTTATTCCAAACATACCGTTGATGTGAAACAGTGTACTGAAATGAGAATATATCCATAATGGTCGGCGTGTTTGCACAAAAAAAGGTCCGTAATATTCCTTCCTTAGGTAGAGCCCTAATGTATGTACCTTTATAAACCAAAGTATGGATCAATGTCTCCTCAATTATAATGATGCGCAAGTAAGACTAGTTGAAGTATTCTGCAATTCATAGTCAGCCACTGAAAAAACAGGTTAGTTTCTATGTGGTTTACTAGCCTCAACGCAAACCTTCTTCTGCATTTTTAACTTTTAAGTTAAAACCCTTCACGATGCTCGGTTGCTATGGGTTTTCCTCCCGGAAGGTCGTGGTTAACGAAGATTTAATCAATTAAAACGAAACTTRGCAGGTGCATAGTCTGAGATCATAGTAATTGTTTGAAGGCAAAATTGGTCATGTGACTACAATTGTAACGTCATTAACTACGTTATAATTGTTCGCTGCAGTACCATTTGTAAAACAACACAAAAGAAAATACACTAATATTAAGTCGCTTATTCTACATACTTTGGTGAAAACCCCATATAAATCGATTAAATTGTCGTGCAGTAAAAAATAATCAAAAATACTAGATTTTATTCAAATTTCCTGCCAAATGACAATATATATGGTCAAAAAAGAAGCGATTTACACGCCCACAGGATAAAGTGTATCACAAATGTACTTGTACCATTGGGTATGGAGTTAARATTGTAGTTTTTTGCATTTTGCACTATATGCTTATTTTGCGTTTTTCGTTATTAAGTACRTCATAATGACGTCAAAACACGTCACAATGACATATTTCTTGTCGAAAGAGGAAAAATAAGCATACAGTCMCAAATCCAAAAAACTACAAATTTGACTCCATGTCCYATGGTACCAGTACATTTGTGATACAGTTTATCCTGTGGGCGTGTAAATCGCATCTTTTTTGACCATATATGGTCATTTGGATGGAAATTTCTTCAATTTGGTGTAACTTTTACCGTTTTATCCGATTTGCATGGAATTTTCAGGATTAACATTAGTKTGTTATGTCAATGTTAGCAATAGTACAATGAAGACTAATTCTAACATCTTTAGGGATGTTCTAAAAATAGCTGGTGCTAGTGACGTCATAGCATTCAAAAATGTAATAAAATTCCTTCACAATTTGTAGAAAATTCAAATATTTTTGTTCTATTCTACATCTACTGAGGTTTTGCCTCGTTTACAACTTGACAGACTAAATTTTGAGATAAAACAAAATCTTAGAATCTTCAGGGAGGAAAGTCCATAGCAACCGACCATCTTTCGTGCCCGCGATTTATTTTTGATTTTAGTTCGTTTTTGAGGCTGATATTTTAAAATATTAAATCTACGCCATAAAAGGAGTTGTCAATCAAACTATTGTAGATTCACATTCCTATGAGTTTGTTTACATCAGCGACGCCCGGTGAATTTGAGACGGGTCGCTAAATTAGCCAGCACTCGCTCTCAAATTCGCCCAAAAACCGTTTTTAAGTGTTTTTTTCGAGTCATTTGCTGCAACATAAGCCCCTAGGACTGCATTATAAAGCTCGGCTAGGCGGCAGAGACACTCTTCTGGAACAAATCAGAAGTGGGAAGCGATTTTTCGAAGAAATGTCGCCAATACGAAGCTAGCTTTGAATTGCCGACCCTAGAGAAAAGTCACGTCCCTAGTCGTTCTGTGGCAGATTTCAGAACCTACCAAGGTAAAATTGGMAAGTTTTAACATCCAAAGAATGCAGTCGGTGCAATATTTTGCCAGTAGGTGCGAGTGGCTTGGCACTTAAAAAAAATCTATGAAATCAGGACCGTTGGTTGCTCCCTGTCGAGTTTGAACCACATTCCCCATGATGCAAATCGGCTGCGCAAGTGGGAAATCTGGGTTTGCTGTGCAAACAAGTTTTACAATTTGAATTAAAACAGAMGCAATTAACACTCGTGCATTAAAAGCTAAAAAGTAGAAAATCTGGTCTACCTTTGGAAAATCCTCGAATGACCACTAGAAAATTAGACGTGAAAGGAGAAAGCTTACCTCTTTATCAGCTTTATCGTTCGCTAAAGGAGCTGTTGAACTTGAAATGTTTTCAGGTGACTCTTGTTATAATAATTTTCAGAAGTGGYTTAAATAGTGTTGGAAACATCTTACCTGTTACGCTCTACCGGTGAAGATATGCCAGTGATTTTCTAACCATTAGAAGGGGCAGAATTACCCTAATATYCCYTTKAATAAATAATGTATGTGCATGACTGCATATACTTTAACATAAGGAACGCAAATTCAAAAGCTTTTTGTAGCAGCGTATATATCCTGTATTTCCTGCATGTTGGATTGCAAATGCTTTAAAAAGCATTGTGAAATTTATAAAGGTCTTGTCAGTGATTTCAGWGKTGGATTAACTTTATATGAGAGAAAGTGATTTCTACGTAGGCCGTCGGTTAATGTTTGTAAAATGTGACCATTTGTGGATAAATATCACCTATTATCTAATAAAAAATGAATACAACTTGGAACTTAGAAAATTGCTCAAATATTTCAAAA